TCCAAGGATTCCGAGTCCTGTTTCTATATTCTGTCGCAGGCAGTATAAGTATGCATCACTTTTATAACATACACATAACCATTTAATGCTTAATCCAGAAGATTAAACCAGCTTCATCACTGTTTTTTGGGGTTGGTAGCTCAGGGCAATTTTGAGAATGACCCTCTCTGAGATTTGCTAAAAAGGAATTAGAGACTTCTTTGTGATTTTATGGAAACTTCCTTTCCAGTGACACAACCTCTATTTTTGTACTTAGACATTGAGGGAAACCCTCTGTAGCTGAGCTAATCTCTCCTGGTATGCACATTTCTGGCTAGAGCCGTGTGTGTACACCTGCTAACATTAGAACTGGAGCTGTGCCTTTATGCTGAGCCTTCAAAACAAATTTAGTCAAAGAAAGCAAGTGTGTGAGATTTTTGTGGTGCTGAAATAGTTTGCAGGATGCCGTTGCTCTAAAAGTACTTTTCGTGAATTTGTTTTCAATAAGTTGGATCCAGCCACCCACTGTAGGTCTGAAGTGGGTCTGTTTATTCATTGTATTTAGACCTGATGCTATTGGGAATTGGAGAAGGTATTGGCCCTCTAAAAGTAAACCTCACCAACATTTGTACTTCATAAATCTTAAGGCCAAGAGAAAAAAGACTTCATGCTCATGAGGGCTTCTCAGAGACAGAGCATTTTCTTTTCTTAATTAATTCCTAGTCTGTGTCCAGTCTCTTTAGCTGAATTTAGACTTATTTTATGAACAATGAAAAGTCTACCTTAAACTACATTTTTCAGTTAAATACTCCACCAGAGCTAACAGACTACTGTAATGGGTAATTACCCTTAATGATAATAATTAGCCTATTCGTAATGTAAATATGCTTAGTCCTCACTTCTAGTTGAGTGCATGCCTGAATCATTTACAAACTCTACCAGTATCCATCAACCTATTTCGGGGGAAGGGGGGAGTTACTGTTGAAAAAAACATTCTGTCAGTAGTAACTTTCCATTTATAGTTAGATTTTGAGACATACCAGTTCTCTGGCTTTTAACTCAGTTAATGTGTGTCACAATTCCTGTAGCTTTATAGTTTCATAACCCCAACATCATGTGGAATTAATTTGAATGTCATACGTAATTCTAGAATTATCGCACCAGCACTAATACATCTATTTACCAAATCAGTAATCTTCTCAGAAAATATCTAGTTAGTCTGACAAGATGTGTTTTCTTAAACCTATGCTGTTTAGCATCAATTATTTATTTTAATACTTTAGTAATTGAATGAGTTCTTCATTATTTTGGCAGGATTTCTGTCAGGATGACAGGCTATGATTGCTTAGCTCACCCTACTGATTTTCTTTAAAATGTCATCACTTTCCTACCACTTTCCACCCAACAATATGTTCAATGTGCATAAGACACTTTGGGGCTTAGGACAAAAAGCACTTTCTCCGTTCAGCTGATTTTGAGACCAGTGAAGAGCAGCCAGGAATGAGTCAAACCAGGAGATAACTGGGAGATGAAGTTGCTAAGCCACTATCCATCATATTTGAGAAGTCATGACAGTCCAGTGAAGTTCCCACTGACTGGAAAAGGGGAAACATAACCCCCATTTTTAAAAGGGGAAAAAAGGAAGACCCAGGGAACTACAGGCCAGTCAGTCTCACCTCTGTGTCTGGCAAGATCATGGAGGAAATCCTGCTGGAAACTGTACTAAGGCACACGGGAAAAAAGGAGGTGATTGGTGACAGCCAACATCGCTTCACTAAGGGTTGCTCAAGGCCATCCAAGGTTGGATGAGGCTTTGAGCAACCTGATCTAGGGGAAGGTGTCCCTGCCCACGGCAGGGAGGGTGGAACTAGATGATCTTTAAGGTCCCTTCCATTCACCCAAACCATTCAATGATTCTATGATTCTGTGATTGAGGACTGCTCTATAAATCACACTCTGAGCAGCAGAAGCTGCTCACGTGAGACTGGCAGTGAGTGTCAAGGGAGCAATGAGCCCTCAGCTCTTGGTAATCCCGTGGTGATGACAAAGGGACTCCATCCACCCAGAGATGTCCTCCACTCTCCAAATACACCATTGTGAATGACATCAGTACATGGCTTGCTATTTCTTTATGCGACAAGGAAAAGGGCGCAATTTGGTTCTGAAATTATACACCTTTTGAGGGTTTATAATGGGTTTAAGAGGGGTGGTACAAAGAAGGAGGCAACCATGAGAATTGAAGTCTTTTCTTGCATTTCATCAAAACTTTTGCAAGACAATGAAACAACTGGGTATTCTAATTGTTATAGGTAGTGTAGAACATCTGCTCAATATTTGCTATAACAAGTTCAGTATTAGAGCAGGTTTTGGGACCCATGTCTTCCCTCTTCCACACAGTGCTGAAGAAATGCATTGCTACTGCATGCAAAGTGGCATAGTTGCAAAAGGGTGCTTTGGGTGCCTCAGAGAGTAAGTGTGAGGAGAAATGCATTAAGGATGTAGAAAGGCTGCGATAACGAAGACTATGTGAACGCATACTGAGAAAGGCAGAAAATAACATGCAACCAGGAGCGTATTGGAAAAAGAGTGTACATTTCTAAGGAAAACAATATTACCTACCACTGCACTAATAATGAGTAGAAAAGGAAAATACTTTTTTTAAAGCTGTATAAACCCACCAACCACTAAGAAATAGGCTTTGGTAGCTTCCAGTGTGATTTCTAGCGCTTCCTTCTGAGTGCCTGGTCTGGACCAGTGGGGAAGGGAGCTGAGCCAGGTGGATTAGGGGTCGCCGCCTCCACATCAGCAATTCTTATTTTCCCATCATTAATAACTACATATAGGCTGTCAGGAGTCATATTCGGTCTTCAGTCCCACATGTATCTGTTTATTCTCCATGTAAAAATACTGTGATAAATCATCAAGGAGCGGGCGGTGCACAGGCACATGACAAGCCTTGCTTGATACCCGGTCTCTGCCGTTTGTCAGTCTCATGTGTTGCACCAAGGAGCAACCCCATCTCACCATCTTGGTTTGCTTTAGAAATAGCTTAACTGGTCCCACCTTGGATGAAGAACAAGGATGAGATAAGGATGGTCCTACTTGACCCATTTTTATGATCTCATCTAACTTTACATGGCATCTGCTGATGCATTTCTTCTGATGTCATGACAATCTTTTGTGTTTGTCAGGGCAACACCAGGAGGGTGGAGTTGGCCCTGATACTGCCTGCTCCTTCATGCAAATATTTTGTCATTGAAATGCCCTCTGTTCTGAAATCTTGGAAAATAACAATGTTGAAAACTTTCAGAGAATATTAAAAACATTAGCGTTATCACAGCACAATAAATAGTTCCATCACCCACTGAAAACTGACTTCTGCAGCTGACGTAGTAATAAAGTATAAATTCAGTTGCTGACACAGTCTGAGCAGACACATTGTCAAAAGAGGAGCCAGGAACCATTAGTTTTTCAAATCACTTAATTTTTCAGCTTTATTTTTCTCTCTCATAGGAAAAAAAAAACAAACAAAAACAAAACCACAAAAACCAAACACAAGAAACCCCACCCTCACAGTCAATATATGTACAATAAATTGAAGGCAATATTTGCTAGACAAGTATGATCAGAGTGACAGCATGTGTTGAATGCTGATTCCTGTGCGAAAGACAGGACCTCATATGTGGCGTCAAATGCTGAAGTGCCTATAAATTATTGAGCTGTTGGCTTTATTGTTTTGATTGCTTCTTATAGTTCTTTATCAAGTCTTTTTCTAAGGTACTCCTGCAGATTTCTCTGAGTGAATGTTGCCAATTCTTCTATAGATCATGCAATGGGGAAAAAAAAAATTCTCTGTAATTGTGTACTTCAGGATTTTACCTAAGGTGTGTTAAACCTAAGAGTATGTGTATATCTTTTCCTAATCAAACACAGGAGACACAGGAGATGTCAGCTCACAATAAATGATGCAGGTGTGATGATGTATTTTAACTTGTGCACCTATTTGTGATGTGTATAAAAGGAAGTTCAGAATTTAGGATATATCAGATCAAATAATTAAACTAAAAAAAAAAAAAAAGCTTATTGCTGTATTTAATTATCTCCCCAACTTGACTGAAAAAGTAGATTTAGACAGTCCCATTGACTCATTCATTGTTAAACTTCCTTTAGAGTCACCCAAATTCTCATGGAGTTTATGTGGTTGTGAAAATTGCATTAAGGATCTTATCCCCCTCTGCAATACGCTGGTACTGCTCATGATTGTCTGTTGGAAAAGGAATACGGCCCTAAAGGAAAAAATTTGAACTGAGTGCCACCACTATTACTCCTGTTGCAAAATATTGCTTGTTTTGAGTGGTACTTACATAGACAATTTTAGCCCTAAATTGAATAAGAAAAATGTAATAACAATTGCTTGTATTTTCACAGGTTAAGATTTTTTAGTGTTGATATTTCTTAACTACTGGACATAAAATTCTAAACAACGTAACGGGAAAGAAGCTTGCCAACTATAGTCCTCTCTAAACAGTTAATAAATGTAATGAAGTTTCTGTGCTTTTAAAACAAATCTCCCTTCCTCGCTCTGAGTTTACAATGATAGCAGCTGCAATACGGATTGGTAGGCACTGCTGCGTCTCCCCAGTAAACCTCCTCTAGTGATGGTTGAAAGCCTGCCCTTGTCAGTGTAACATCTCTCTCAAACTAAACCTGATGCAGCAGGAGATGGCGAACACGGAGAGAGGAGAGGTTTCCCACAGGTAGCAGAGCCGAACCTTTCTCCTTCGTGCTGAGCACGTGGACAGCACTGACACAGAGAACTTGGTCATCTGGGAACCATGACAAGAAATATCTAGTACTGAACTAGTTGATTGCTTGGAAGAAAAATAGGTCCTGAATGTGCAATACCCTCTTTGCATGTGTCCATGGCCCTGGCATCATGCTATTTCATGGGTGACTGAAGTGTATCTGATTCTACACTGCTTATTTGGGAGAACTCATGTATTTTTCCACACTTTTTACAGCTCCCAAGTCTACTTTTTGTCCCACTGAAGAGACCTGGTGGCCAGGCCTGGTTATTATCATCGCAGTATGCTGTGCCACACTAGTGTTCCTCTTCGTAGTTGTCATCATTTGCTACAAAGCCATAAAAAGGTAAGGCTCCAGATGCTTTTACTGTGCCTAGGACAGTACAACCCCACAAAGGTTGACCTAAGACTTGGCTGACACCTTGTTTTGTTTAAAAGCATCCTAAAGTCAATATGCGTTTTCATTAGAAGGTCGCTGTATGTACCGTATCCTGCCTGTGTGAAGGATGAAGTTTAATGCAAAGTCATGGATGCGAGAAGAAGAAAAACTAGAAATGGGAGAGGGCCACAATTCAGATTAATTCAGATTAATACCAACTCCTCAAAGTCAAATTGCCGCAGGTTGCTGGGGAATGTCGATAGTTTTGGCTTGGCCAAGTGTAGAGGCAGGAAACACTGTCCTGTCCAGTTCTGGTAGTACTCAAAACTTACGTGTAAGATGCGAGATTTTTGGCCAAGGCTCATCACCAATTGTGGAATTTCAGATTGATGCAAGCTCTTGTAACCCAAACTCTAGGGTAAGTTGTGTAGTTTTTCATTTGCAGGCTCTATGTATAATTTATTCTTGCTTCAAAAATATCATCTACAGAATCCATTTTAAAACCTGTCTCTTAGTTTAAAAGCCTACGTGAAGCCTATGTACACCACGGTGTGTAGTAACCATTTCAACTCCCCTGCCACTGACTTTACAATAGATGTGCTTGCAAAGGCCTCCGGTAGTTAGAAGCTATTGACTTCAGTTACACAGAAAAATGGGAGTGAAAATAATTTCTTCATCTAAATAACATTTCATATTTCGAGCAGAAAAAGGCAAAATCCATAACTCTCGTGAGATACTGCAGTGACACCTGCAGTTTGGATTAAATTAAATTATGTTTATTCAGCTTTGGAAATTTTTTTTTGGGAGGTGGGCAGTGAGGGAAACAAAATACCTTTCATGAAAAAAGTGATCTGCATGCAAAGCAACTGCAAGATTTTTGATGAGCCTTAGCAGGGGTATCACAATGGTGGAGCATTGCACATGCTTTGTGATGGTCTGAAAAATGTATGCAGGATTTGAAAGATAGTACATCCAAGAACATGAAGAAGGGAGTATTCAAATAAGAAGACAGAAGTCTGTATCTAATTCCTTATTAAATTTACATAAAAACTTTGCTATTCTAATTTAGCTAAAATGAATGCTTATTAGGTTTTAGGAGTTGGAAGGCTTTCACTCTGTCTACTGAACATCTTAAAAATAGTCTGTGAAGGACTGAAACTGGTGTTGAATTGGATTGGTAACACAGTGCGAAATTTCTTACTTGTAGTTCCTAATCTACCATTGACTGTTCCTAGGAGATTGGTCTGATTTTATGTGGAAAGTTGTGTTTGTTTCCAAAAACAGCTATTGTATTTGTCTGCTTAGTGTCAAGCAGACACTAAGGCCGCAATGCCTGGGCCACTAAATATACCTACGGGAGCAGAAACTCTCCAGGGTAACTTGTGCCTAGCGAGGAATTGCTCTTCAAATCTGCTCTGGTACAGGTAGATGGGAGGTACAGAAAAGAAATTGAAACAGACAAATTTAGAGCTGCCTTGAGAAGGCTGTGGGAATTCACATAACAAAGTCTTATGCTTCATGTCGGTGAAGAGTAATACAGATACTTGATGAAGACACTCATTATTTGTCAACAGTGTGAATATCAACATGCAAGTAAGCCACTTGAACAGGCATTAGGCTCAGAGAAAAGCGAAAATTCCTCTTAGATGTTCTTATTGTTGACATTCGCACTGATGACAAATGCTAAGCTGAAAACTGCTCAGATGTGGGACGGACAGCTATAAAAGAAAATCTTATTAATTATATTTTTACAGAGTAACTAGAGCATTTCTTTTCATCAATGAGTCCTTCCTAAAACAGCTCTGTTAAAAGGATGCCCTAAAGTGCCTGGCAGCACTCTTCAGTAGTTCAGGTTCTTTGATCCACTGTATAAGATATCTACTGATAAATGCTGGGAAATAGGATAAGACGCTTCACAAGAGAAGCACCTCTGCCTTCAACACAGAGTATTATCCCGTATTGTTTAGCTGAATTGGCTTTAGCTAGTGTGAGAAATCCTTCACTCTGTTTTTTGCTGGGAGGTAGAGATGGCTAGAGAAAGAGTGAGGGGATTAATCTGGGTGATGCTGAAGCCAAGGGTCCCTCCAGTGTGTTCCCAGCCTCCGGCTCCACAACTGTGCTCTGTCCCATCGTTTCTCACCCCTCCATCCCACCAGCTGTCCTCCGCAGTCCTCCTGGGCCTGCATTTCTGTGCATCTCCTGGAATTGGGGTCTGTCATTGCATCTTCTGGAATTCGGACCTCTGTCGTGGCATCTCCAATAAATCTGTCTCCCACCTCTAAGGCAGTATGTTGTCTGCTTACTTATAATATACCCATCCCCTTTAGATGTGAATGACACCCGCTTATCCTCCAGCTGCATCTAGGTTGGGCTGTAATCTCGCTATGGCACAACCCTCTTCGTCCAAGGAAGGGTACACTCTGATTGCCTTGGTTTAGAAATCAGAACCCAGCCTGAAGACCCCACCTTTGCCTGACTTGACTCTTTCTTAGCTCTGGGTGAAGAACAGCCTTGTGTCTCACCACTGAACAGCATCCGTTCCTTCTTGCACCATGTCAGACATGTCTGCAGATTTCAGAGGTGTCCCAGTCGTCATGTAGCGCTGGTCACTGTGGGAGAGACTAGGAGAGTGGCAAAGTATACTGAGGGCTGGACTGTTTACAGTGCCCATCACAAACTGACCCTCGGAGCCCTCTCCTACTTGGTTTTCTGTCTCCGAAACAGGTATCAAAGCACTTGCCTATATCTCGGGTGTCGCTGTTGTACCGAGGACGAAGAGAAGAACGACATAGAGTTCAAGTCCAGGAGAAAATGCCATTATTTAGTTAATTACAAATCCGTATATATAACGTGGTTCGCAAGAAGGGCCAAGGCTATTGGTCGCTTGACCATCCACCTCCCAGAGTGATTGGCTGAATGCTACAACACCCATTTCAAAACAACTTTCCCAGTGTACCATAAACAAGACTGCATAACAAGCTACAGGTGCAAGATAAAGTCTTAGTTTACAAAAACCTCAAACTGTTTCTCAGCTAGCCTACATGAGAAAGAGAACTTTCACAGGATGCTGCAGCAGCTGGAAAATTTCTCTGCTTCTAGCTTTTTAGTATCCACACTTGGGAGTGTCACTGAGATTCATCACTTACTTCCTGATGAGCAGTGTAAACGTGGAAGCGGCAAGAATAATTATCCAAACATACACTCCATAAAACCTTGCATAAGACTGTCACCCTCCAGCATTTTTAGACAGGAATTTCTTTTACCACTCCCCCCCTGCAGGGGAAGCATCTACATCTTCCCATTTGGAAACCCTCGTTCTGATCAGAGCCGGGGGTGTGACAAAAACTGGAAGTGCTAGTAAGCATGAGAACTGGCTTGGCAGCAGCAGATGACATATCTTTTTTTGGTGCAACAGGAAAAACATTTAAAAATTCTCATCAGCCCATCAGCTAAAAAAGAGGTAAACAAAAATAAAAATATCAAGTATCTGCTGAACATGAGTTCAGATCAGATGATCGTACCAGTTCTACCCATGGATAGATGTATCCTATCTATACATCTATCTATATCCTTTATATCCTATCTATACTAGATTCTATGTGTCTACTATAGTAGATATATATGGTATATATCTCCCAGTGACAAATCCATAAATATTACAGGAGAGTATTGCAAAAGCCTAACTGGAATAACTTGATTTCTCTGCTTTTTAGTCTTCCAAATGAAGTGGGGTTTAAAATATGACCATCAGTGCTATCTATATCCTATTTAGCCTAAAACATATGGCTCAGCTTAATTAGCAGTTTAAGCACTGAAGAGATGCTGAAGAGTGAAAAAACAGTAATCATCTGATTGTAAGGTATAGCAAGAGTTAAATGTTTTAATAGGAAAGTGCAAGCAGAGATTTATTTGCACAGAGCTTGGATCTGTTGTATTAATCCCTCACTTTCATAAGAATCAAATTGGAAGTAGAAAGAAAAAGAAAAATCTTATTGTGCTTAAGTTAAAATCTCATTTACTGGTTTCAAAGGGCCGGACTCAATCAAACTCTCTCATGTCTGCTTTTCTGTAGCAGGAAGAGAGGGAGTGACTGTCCTCGACGTATCGTAACTCAGCTGTAGTTTTATTCAGTCTGTATAAAAACCGTTTCTCCTGGGGGTGATTTGTTTTCCCTTGTAAAAGCTAAATCTTTAGCATATCACCAATTTTAGGCACTAAGGCTTTTTGTGATAAAATACAACCTAGTGAATTGGTGCTTCGTTGTATAAAATAACTACCAGAACCAAGCCAGCGTGTTGCTACCTCCATCCCTGCACCTCCCCTGGCCATGCTCAGGTTCTCCCAACATGGACTGGTCATAAGAAATGCTGAAATCCATTCCAGTGGATGGATTTGACCTCTCAGGTCCACGAGGGAACTAATACCAAAATGCGTCAAGCAGCTTAATACTCAGAGAACTGCTAGGCAGGTTACACTCTTGGGAAGATACATATGGGGCGATCCTCTGAAGGCTGTTAAAGCAGCCTCTAAATTTCCTGTGTGTGACTCTGGTGCCTGCAGCGTTGGGCACTGTGCGACCAGCTCACCAGGCACAGATGTGTGCAGCTGCATAGGTCAAGCACCAGAAGAGATCACACGTGATACTGTGCTGTGCTGCAGCACGGTCACACACGCGGTGACAGCACCCTCGGTTTGGAGTGGGGCAACAACTGTTTTCTCTGGTCTTGGTGACGGAGGATTTTTCTTTTAAAAAATGTGAATTTTCTTTTAAGTAACTTTACCATGGCATGTTAGAAAAAAAATAAGGATTGGTGCTTAGTGCCAGGAGCAATCGCAGTCTGTAACTTTTGTAGATTTCTAGGATGGGCTTAATTGCTCACTGGCCAGAGCTCAGGCCTGCTGTAAGCAGTGGGACTTTTCTGCTCATTTCGTGGATAAGGAATGTGATCTGACAACCAGCAATTGCT